TTTTAAAAAAAAAAAAAAAAAAATTATTATAATTTTTTTAAACACATTATTTATTAACTTCCTGTACATTAATAGTTTTAAGATTAGATGTGTTAGTTACACTGAGAAGCTTTTAGATCTGTTTTAAGGTATGCTAAGATCTAAAAAAAAAAATTTAAAAAAAACAAAAAAAAAAAAAAAAAAAAAAAAAATTATTATAATTTTTTTAAACACATTCTTTATTAACTTCCTGTACATTAATAGTTTTAAGATTAGATGTGTTAGTTACACTGAGAAGCTTTTAGATCTGTTTTAAGGTATGCTAAGATCTAAAAAAAAAAATTTAAAAAAAACAAAAAAAAACAAAAAAAACAAAAAAACAAATGGTGTGTCTCTAACAAAGGTAGTTCACTAAATCCCAGCTTGTGGTTCGCACACACTTACACACTGCGGCGCATTTCATAATTGCGCACCTTAAACCCCCACAGCCGTGGCTTCTCCAAGTGGAAATCTGTGGGTTTAAAAAAAATAATAATAATAATAAAGATAAGATTAATGTACGTCAAACCTTCAAATGTCATCCCGTTATGACGAAAGAATTTACCAACTACCCAGAAAACATGGCGGAGATTGGTTCTCAAAAAAAGAATTAAAAAAAAAAAATTATAATAAAAAAAGCAGACGATCTAATCTGTTGATGCGACGTGAATCAATGCCATAAATAAGATCTATTTTTAGTTACTTGCGCACCTGAATCCGTCGTAATTTACCGTTCCGATTGTCCCATTAAATTCGCTTTAATTCAAACAGATCTGCGGGGGCAGACCCCCTTGTTTACCGCGTTGTCTCCCATTGGATCAGAAACCGGGGTGAGAAGGGGGGGGGGGGCGACAAAAGCGTTTATCTTCGTTAAGAATAAACTCTCTCTCCCATATGTCTGCGTCTATCGCCAGGGGCATGAGGGGGTTTCTGCCCTTGTCTGCTATATTTTTTTTTTGTTGTTGTTAATCCCCTCCCTGTGTGCGTTATATCAATTAATGGAAATCCTTTTTTTTTTTTTTTAAATGTTTTTTGTCCTTTTTTTTTTGTTTCTTCATTTTTTTCAATTAAACTAAATGTTTTATGGTGAAGTGAGTTAAAAAAAAAAATCAATGAGTTGAATAATAATGGCCTTTCAAGTCAATGAGCACTTGACGCCAGGGTTAAACTGCTCATTCCATGAACCACTGGGTTGTTTGCTGCGGCTGTATAATGCCTGAGAACCGTTGACGACACTGAAGAGTTCCGACTCACTATTTTACACAAATCTCCGTTGTTGTCCCGTTGTTGTGTATACATATATTTTCTACGTTGCATCCGTTAATAATTGTTACCTCACATAAAATGGACTGAACAAAAATTAAAATCAAAATACACACTAAACAGTTGGGACACGCTAGTTGGTTTGCGGAAGTCTAGCCCAGCGGTTCTCAACCTGTGGGTTGCGGACCCCTTTGGGGGGGGGGGTCGAGCGACCCTTTCACAGGGGTCACCTAAGACCATCGGAAAACACAGATACTCCACAGTTATGAAATAGCAACGAAAAATAATTTTGTGATTTGGGTCGCCACGACATGAGGATTTGTATTAAAGGGTCGCGGCATTAGGAAGGTTGAGAACCACTGATCTAGCCTATTCCCCATTAGCTGTAAGTTGTTTTTTTTTATGTAAGATTTTGTTTAGCTTAAAATTTAAATATTTTGTAATAAGATTTTTTTTTTGTTTAAAAAAACAACAACTGTGTATTTATATTCGCCGTTGGCGTGTGCCGTTGTCTTTGTGGGAAATAATTGACATTTTTTTTTTGTCAGGGACCCCCCCTCCCCCCCCTCCCCCACCTGGCAACCCCAGCCGCCTGTCATTAATGATATTATTATCTGTGAACTAAGTTCATGTTCAAAACTTATATCTACTTTCATCAATCTCTCTCAGTTATTAAATCACTCGTGACATCCTCATCCCTGAGGTAGGTGCGAGGAGGAGAGGGGAGGGGGAGTAAAACATAAAGTCGAAAACGACCGTGACATCCAGCAAATCTGTAGGTGTAAGTGTAAGTGATATTTTTAAATACGCCCCTCTCTCTCTCTCTCTCTCTCTCTCTCTCTCTATATATATATATATATATATATATATATATAAATATAAATATACTCTGATATGGCTAAGAGAATTCACTGAATGGCTGTTTTTTTAGTAATTTTTTTTTCACTAGTGAATTAATTTATAATAAATGTCTTGTGTTCAAATTGTTTTATTGATGTGCTGAAAATGTACAATGCAATAAAAAAAACAAAAAACATTCCCATTTGTTTCGTATCAATAAAAGAATCTTATCTTATCTTATAAAAAAAAATCAAACTTTTTGAACATGGACACATAGGACTAAAATTCCACCCCTTGGCAACACGCATCCATCTCACCTACACACAAACCAGCAGGCAGTCGTACGCCCGCCGACAACCCAAGCAAAAGAGCCCCCCCCCCCCCCCATCTGTATCAAGATAAAGCAAAGCCTTGTTCAAGTTTTTCTTGTTACTTAATGCATGGGTCCATATTCGAGTGTGTGGGTGTGGGTGTGGGAGTGAGAGAGCGAGAGAGAGAGAGATCGAGAGAGAGAGAGAGACAGAGAGCGAGAGAGAGGGAGACAAAACTTTGCATATGTACGGGGGTCTTGATTCTCCGCGAAAGGTCTCCAGTGATTTGTTCCGCATTTCAAGAGATTTGATGGAAGCAATCAGGAGATTGTGCGGAGATCTGACAAAATCCATCTGAATCCAAACCTTACTTGGGGGGGGGGGCGGGGCGAACATCTTTTATTCATTACGGAAATCGGTGAGCAGGGTGGCCGCTCCTGGGGTATGGCTAAAATATTGTCCAGTTCTGGACGTAGCTTCAAGAGGTANATAGCTACCCTGTCAAAAGGTCTATCAATGGCTTAGGAACCAGCGGTGCTTTTTCACCCTCCTCTTACATGAAGTTTTCTGACACGTGCACATGACCTCACGAATCTAGCTACGTCAGAACTCACACCAGGCCAAAAGAATGATGCTGTCCACTTGTGCAGCGTAACATGCATGCTTTTCTGGACCTCCGACTCTTCTAACTTGCTCTTGAGTTCTGTGAACTTACCACTCCACAAATGTTTGGTTTTCAAATCCAGCAATTGCATTTGAAGCGAACCAGCATCAATTCCAAATGGCTCAATGTTGATCTCATTTGTATTTGTGTTCAGAGGATTTACTATGAACACCCCACTACTTGCGTTTGTTTTGAATTGCTCAAATCTCTCAGCGAATCCATCCTTCATTTTGTTTATAGTAATGCTGAAGTAATTCGTGTCAATAGTTGCATTGGTTTCATCGCGATATTGCTTGATATTTTCGAAATGAAGTAATTTACCGCTTTCCATGTCTTCTACAAAAAGAAGTAATTTATTTTCGAAACAAACCACTTCTTCAAGCAAGGCATAGGCTGGGTTTCCCTTTCCTTGCAGTTTTACATTTAGCTCATTTAGTTTCTTTGTGATTTCCTTTAAATGATAGATAATACTTTTAGGTTGCCAAAAAAATGACAGTTATGAGCACTTTGAATAATAAGTTGTAGTAAATGTTAAAAAAGCACTAACTTATGAGGCAGATATCAAATTTTAAAGCTTCAATCATAATACAAGTACAAATAAAGTAATAATTTCTAAAAAAAAGTTGTTATAAGCAAAATAAAATTTGCAATTCTTTTTCTAGAAAAACTTTTATTTAAAACATTAGCTCATTAGGTAATCAGTGTAATAAGAATATATGTATGTTGAAAAGTAGTGGCATGTTTAAGTGATATTTAGGCTAATATATATTAGTTAGTGGCACCAATACAAATTAAAAGTACTTCTGAGAAGGAAGAATTTTTGTTAGATAATTTGAATATGCTTGATTTATAGGAGTACATTTTTGCATGATTCTCTCTTAATCACTTATTTGGATAGGAGTACATTTTTACACAATTCTTTCTTAAACACCTATTTAAAAATTTACAGATATTTTTTTTAGAAAATATGAAAAGTACAATAAATTGATTTAGAATGCAATAATAAGTAATTGATAATATATATTTAAATTTTTAAAATGAGAATTAATTCATTACTAGTTGATTTCCAAGATTAATTAGTATTAAATAAAAAACAAACAATATTACAATAATCATTACTATAGCATAATTAATTAACATTTCCCTATACAACAATATGAAACACTTGTTAAGTTTAAATACATGAATCTTAAAGCAATAAATAGTAGTGGAACATTTTTTACTTTTTGATTTTAAATTCTAATTTTATAAAAAAAAAAAAAAAATTTTTTTTAAAAAAAAAAAAAAAAAAAAATTAAAAAAAAAAAAAAAAAAAAAAAAAAAAAAGGGGAAAAAAAAAAGGGGGGCAAAAAAAAAAAAGACCGGGCCGCCCGGGGGGCCCCCCACCCCCCAGGGGGCCCCCCCCCCCCCCCGGATATTTAAGGGGTCTAAATTTATGATGTGGAAAATGAAATGAAAAAAAAAAATAACTTATCAACTTTGATTGTAGATGGCACAAAAACCGACAAGTTGCAGGGGTTCTCAGACGTCTTTTTAAACACCTTGTCGCGTGCCTTTTTTGTGGATCTACAATGTTTGGGTGCCGCCAACTATAACCCGTGTGACGCCATCTACAGCACATGTGACGCCATCTACAGCACATGTGACGCCATCTACAGCACATGTGACGTCGCACGTCTTGTTTAAAATTGCCAGTTCATTAATTTCTCGTCAGCTCGGTGTTGTTCGACCACAGCATCTAGATCACGCCCCCACCCCACCTCAACCCCCCTTCTTCTGCGTGACCCCCTTGTCGGTTTGTCACAAGACGGCACAAATAAACATTGCTTCCTACAACACCAGTTGGACGTGTTGACAATCCTATCATCAAACGCTGAGGGGGGGAGGGGGGAGAAGAAGTGGTATCCCATTGTGGACCTGGGTGCAACGAGTGTCAGTGAGAGGCACATGATACCCCTCCGTGGTGCCCGACGCCCCAGGACAGCCACCGGACTGAGGCGAGGACCCGTCAAATGGGAGGTGAGGGGGTAGATCTCCAAGTGACAACGGGAGAGACACGTCTAGTAGCGGATGCGTCATCCGAGACTTTAGAGAGTCGAGCGTTGAGCGACAAAACTGTTTTTGAAAAAAAAAATGGTACCGGTAATTAGACAGATGGACAATGGATTTTCGGAAAATCTGACATACGAATTTCAGGGCCACCAACATATCACGTTAAACATAACTTACTAGTTCAACGGCTTATTAACATATAAAAATTAAACCAACCATGCTCAAATATGACTTTTGAAAATTGTTAATGTTGTCAACCACAGCTCTGGGGGTGGGTGAGCTCAGGTCTATATAAAGGTCTTGATTTAGCAGTCGGTCATCACTTGAGGTGAACAACAGTTAATCATTTCTTGAATTTTAGAAACAACACTCCCCCAGGGAAAATTTAAAAAAAAAAAAAATTGTGAAACAGTTACCGGAGAATAAATGGTAGGGTCTTCCTCCTCTACCACCCCTCTTCTCCCCCCCCCCACCTGTGTTAAATCCCAGAGATAGCACCACCAACCCCCCCCCCCCCAAC